AAGATGAAGCAAAACAGGCCTATTCCTCCTTGGATCAGAAATATGACTGGCAATAAGATCAAGTAAGTTGCTGATCACAATTTTGACCTGATTGCTGAATGTATTAGTGTTCAGAAGTTACATGTGCGTGAAGCTGCTAGTATTCTTGTTTTTTTTTTATAGTAAACACGCTTGTTTTCTTTGAAGATAGCAGACATATATATATTTCACTCTCAACGATAGTGAGTTCACTTCAATTCTTGGATGACTGTCTTGTACTTATTTCTGCTATGTTTTACGAGTACTGGGTTCACCGAATAGTGCCTTTTCACAGAATAAAATTTCTATAGCTATATTCTGCAGATTTCGTTCATATAAAAATTTAATTGGTGACCAACTATGCTCCATGATGCAACCGATGTTGTATCGCTTCTTGTTGGGTTTGAATAGAACCATGTTGGAGTGAGATGATAAGATGATTGGAAAAGCAAATAACCTGGCATTACTTTACTTAGAATTCATGGTTATGTCACAACTTGGAACATATATGTTCAGAAAGCCAGCTTGCATTTGATTTTTTACCATTAAAACGTTTGTAACCAAGAAACCTTGTTAATAATACGTTTTTTTCTGAAATGTATCTCCACACCAAAAATTTCAAGTTCCTCATTAAAAAAAAAAAAAATCTCATGATTGTGACCACGAGTTCGTTGGGGTTGGAGGTAGATTTAACAGTGTTCCGGCATTCTTGACACGAAACGCGAGGCAACACGACTGTCGTGACGGTCGGCGAGAAGTTCCTAAACATGATTTTCGCAAGACGAACGAAAAACATTTTTAAAGAAATTGGAAGCAAATTCGATGGTTAACTTTCGCGAGAGAAGACTTATAATATCTAGTGTGTCGCAAGTTGCGATTGATCTTTTCTGTGATTGCAATTTCAGGCATGAATATATTGTAATTATACAGTGGGGGAAATAAATATTCGTACACTTGAAAAATCGTATTTTAATGTATGCAAGTACACAAACTTAACAGGAAAAATGATTTAAATTATGTATAGAGACGCATAGTATTCAAAAATACTATCAAAAGAAATTAAATCTCAATGCAACAAAAAACAATGCAACATGTTCACTTTTCGGGTGAAAAAAGTATTCGTACAAAACAATAAATCCGCATTATTTTATTTAATACTTGGTTGAATACCCTTTATTCAGCTCAACAGAATACCTTTAGCCATTTTTGAGACCTTCTTGTACTACGGGCAGTTGCAGAATGATCTGGTAGTTGCAAAATACGTTAACTATAGTTACTGATTACATTACTGGAACGTGCTACATGTTTCTAGTACATTCTGGAATGTTCTGGTGTGAAATATTAGTCAAAAGTTGTTTTGTACGAATACTTTTTTGACCCGAAGAAGTTAACATGTTGCATTAATTTTTGTTGCATTGAGATTTAATTTCTATTGATGCTATTTTTTAATACAATGCGCCTCTTTACATAATATAAATCACTTCGCCTGTTCAGTTTGTGTACTTACATACATTAAAATACGATTTTTCAAGTGTACGAATATTTATTTCCCCCCACTGTAAGTGAAATTAGGTTTTATTCATAGTTGCTTGACAGGTGGGTGTTGTTGATGAGTAGATGGGGTACCGCACGTTCTTGATAAAAGTTGTTAATGGGTTGTATAATTATTTCCCTCCATTTGATTTTAATTCAGCTGTAATTTTGAATCGTCACTCATTGACTCGTTATAATACTAATTAACGATGCTTGTTTGTTGCAGGTACAACGCCAAGAGGCGTCACTGGAGGAGGACTAAGCTGAAGCTGTAAAGTGGATACACAGCGTCGGTATCGTCAATCGTGTGCTGCTTGTGTCAGTTCAGTAAAGGGATGGCGCAGTTGACTGGTTTCATTTCAATTCTCAGAAAATAAAAGCATAAAACAAAGATTTTGTTCAGGACGCCGCCTATGATTCTACAAAGTGATAGATATAGATAGCCTTGCACACTCTTGTTTTGACGCATTGTTGATCATGTTCTTCTATGCCAACAAATTTTTGGTGTAGATTACTTTAATGTGGATATGTTTACTCCTGCTGAGATTTTTGTAGCCGGTTTCATACATGGCTAATTTAACGAAATTTCTCGAGTCGTTGAAGTGGACGGTTTGCGATGAAAGGTTGACTATTTCCATGCCTGTTGTCTTCCACCGGACATTACACGCAGATCGTAAAACGACATAGGATCCTAAACGCTAATTGTTCTACACAGCAGTTCTACGATCAAACTATTCTGATTATTAAATTCGATCCATTGTGAGAGTGAGAGTACCCTTACGATTTGCCTTGTTTAGGAGTACTAAAACGGCTCTGTATTGATATTAATTTGCGCTACTGGAGATGAAAGTCAGCTAATCTGAATTGATGTCGTTAATTTTAGACTCGATTATAACCAACGAAGAAGGCATTGTACACGAGATTCATTATGCTGCGTCTGTGCAAGAGCCTTCTCGTGAAAAGTTATTAGTTGAGATGCTGCAAACGGTACGGCAGCACGTCATACGTTAACGGCTTAGTGGAATTCGAAGCGGACCGAACGGAATTGGCAAGCATTGTCTGGATAACGCTTCTCTTAACGAAAAAACGGGCAGAAGAAATGTGCGAACCCTAGTAGAGAAAATCGCGGAATCTTTACAGAGGCGCATCCCAAAGAATGGACCGCGCTGGATACGCCAGGAAGCCCGACTATCTAAAAAGTAGATCAGAAAAATGCCAAATGTCTGCCGCTTGGTGTCTATCCCGCAAGTAAGCTTGGACACGAGACAAGTTTAAGGTGCCGATATCTAGTCGTTACCGGCACGGCGGCACTTTAAACTTTTCTCGTATCTAAGCTTACTTGCGGGATAGACAAGCGGCAGACATTTGACATTTTTCTGATTTTCTTACCGCCAGTACTGTCCCCGTGTACAAGCACCTAAACGGGTGGACCGCACTATGAGGGAGAACAAGACGGCCGCAAAATTGTCCGAGAGTAAGAACGAGGTATTTCGATCAGTAAATTCAAATGATGGGCTCTCGAAATTCAATTTAGTACCCGTCAATCAACATCTCGTATGGCTCCTAATGTGTAAAATCCCACATCTGTGGATGTTTAAAAAATGGAGGGAGCTACGATGTATTTTGTTGAATTTTATGGAAATAATTATAAGTAACACGATATATCTGTGTTACACAATAAATTCTGGCAAGATTACATCAGTATATCAGCTGTCGCGACTCAGTATATTTTATAGTATGATAAATTAAAAATGTGCCAGGATGAAGCTTGAATCTTATCTTTCACATTTTGTAAACATTGAATTTCAGTGATATACTTAATGAACACAAACAAGTTGCTTTTTTCAAAGGAAACTTTTGATATTAAGTGATTAAAATATAAAATTTATAAAATTTTACAACTTCTTCCTGTTCGTTCATGTCGTTGGCACTCTTGCTTTGCTCCCGTTATACTCGTTATTTATTTTTTTGCCACCTGTTCAGCTGACTTTTGTTTTTCTTTTCTTTGCTTACGTAGGAGTTTGTGCGTCTAAAAGAGATGGAAGCTTTAGCTCGGAGAAATTTATTTGTAGCTAAAAGTACCACTCAAATTTTACTCCAAAATTCACCTCACGGCGTTGTTTTCACCGAAAATCAGTTAACAACTTGTGAACTTGACAATGTCAACTTTGTCAAGATGACTCAAGAACATAACAATAACACTGTTTAACTTTAACACACATGACTAATGATGACATATTGATAATTGATGTAAAGCTGATGAATGCCTGAATGCATAGTGACAAACCAGAGATTTTTTAGCATCAGTTCATTTTTAATTTCCTCAAGACTTGAACCAATTTCTTATGTAAGATAATGCTGGTATCCATGATACTTTGCTGGTCTACTTATAGTACTCAATAACATGTATAAAAAAAATTTTTAAAGACCACGTTTTTCATGTGGACTAAAAAGTAGAAAATAATTTTTCGGCAGCTACTGATCTCCGTTTGATTTCATTCTCTTGGTCTTTTGTATTTCAGTTAAAATATTTTACAACATCTAAAACGAAAAACGTGGGGCGCATATGTATTTAATTGTTTGTTGATTACTTGATATGATGAATATGATGGTTCATTGAATATTTGATAAGTGTATTGCTGATATATCTGATTTGAGCAAATTTTCTTATTTACTGTTCTTATATTGATTTATGTTCTTTCATCCAATATAGGTAGTTTGAAATGTGTATAAGTAATTCAAGCAAGTAAAGATATGAATCATGAATAACGCAGCTCAGGGTATGTAAAAATTTTAAAAGAATCAAATTTGGAGAATTTTAAATGAACGCGTGGACTATATCTAATGAATTTAAGAGGCATATTAAGACATTTGCAAAGAAAATGCATTAAGTATCTAAATAGTTCAACATTAAATAGCTCACTATCAAATCAAAGGTATATGGAGTAACGAATAGTGATAGAGTAATTCGAAATAGTGGTTGAATTCAAAATTGAAATAAAGGCATGTCTAAATGAAGATGCGCCCCACGTTTTTCGTTTTAGATGTTGTAAAATATTTTAACTGAAATACAAAAGACCAAGAGAATGAAATCAAACGGAGATCAGTAGCTGCCGAAAAATTATTTTCTACTTTTTAGTCCACATGAAAAACGTGGTCTTTAAAAATTTTTTTTATACATGTTATCTACTTTTTAGTCCACATGAAAAACGTGGTCTTTAAAAATTTTTTTTATACATGTTATTTTTTGTATGGGATTAGTCGTATTCCAATTGTGTATTTCTATTCTCTAGCAAGCATATGGCAAAACAAATAAACTGAGTCTATTTTATTTATCGGCTAACTCTGCCTCTCATTAGAATGAAGCTAAATAATAATCCCTCCGCTCCACTCCGTCTTGTAATATTACAGTAATGAGGCTGGACTGATGGCAGTTGTATTCTCTTATAGCTGATCATCGTGACGCTGCTGCTGTGGGACCTGTTAGGCTGGGCTTGTATGGCAGGCCTCGTCGTCATCGTGCTCTTCATTCCCCTACAAAGTGAGTTCAGTTGTGCTTACTAAAATCTTTAAGCTAGCTAGTAAATTCAGTCAGTTGTGAACCACTGAGCACAGTCTGTCAAAGATTTATATTTAGCCCATGAACTACTCTTCAAACTAGTTATGCCTGCGACTCGGCTAATTTATGTTAATAAATCTGTCTATCATGTTTTAAGATAAATAGCACGTATTGTATTACAGGCTTCATGGGTAAGATTTTCTCGCGGCTGCGGCTGCAGACTGCGCAGCGCACGGACGAGCGCGTGCGCGTCATGAACGAGATCGTGAACGCCATGCGCGTCATCAAGATGTACGCCTGGGAGCTGCCCTTCGCAGAGATGGTCAAGAAGTTCAGGAAGTAAGTTAAACTTTAGTCTTGTAATATTTGCATGCAGTGCAATACTAACGTGTAACTGTAGCTGGCCGCTGCTTCGCAGGCTGTGCCGCTTGTTATTTCCATCAGACAGCTCTTTATAACATCAGAATGTAAATCATGGCCGAAATAAATTTCTTATACTGGGATATCTCGTGCGTCTGAAGAGAAATAATCTAATTTATTTCGTTTATCTCTGCGATAATTCCGCGTTTGTTTGTTTCATGGTAATATTCTAGGAAAAACAATCTGAATAATTCTTAGGGAAATTATCATTGCTCAATTAAAAGTTGTAAATCACATTTGGGCCAATAACTATTGCTAAGACTGTGCAGATGGAAAATTGGATCGTGAATTTTTGCGCAGCCAGTAACATTTATTGCTGCATCGCTACCCTGAAAATAATTCAATTAAGACCACCAACTTGTAAGCTCTAATAACTACGATTTGCCACATCACATATGCAATACATCTGTCTTACTGAACGAACTTGCTTTCATGTGCGACACTCGCAAGGAAGCTTGGTAGACCAGACCAGCAAATTTGATATCAAGAAGGGTCGGTCAACTGCAGTACTTGGGTTAGGCGAGTGCTAGAGTATGTCATGGCAAGAGACCTATAATTTCGTTTGTTTTTCACTATCTATGTCATTATAAAATCACAGTTCAAATACCACGCATGCTTTATTTGATGTCTGATACTATGTGCAGATCAGAGATCGACGTGATCATGCACACGAACTACTACCGTGCCGTGAACATGTCGCTCTTCTTCACGTCCGCGAAGCTGGTGGTGTTCCTCGCGCTGCTCACCTACGTTGTCACGGGCAACGCTCTCACCGCCGAGAAGGTAAGCTTATCTGCCTGCCTCTGTTAGTGATCTCGCAGATGATAATCAAGAATTTTATATTATATATGCTTCTGTTTTTCGTAATCACCTAGATGATCATCAAGAATTATATATTATATCTGCTTCTGTTGTTCGTGATCACGTAGATACGAGATAAAGTTGATTTCGCATAGAAATTAACGGTAATCGATGTGCGAATAAAGTTACTTTCACATATTCTTAACAATGCAATGATTTTCATTCAGAAATAGATCGTCAAAACGTCAGATTAACATTTGACAATTTGATGTTATTTCTTTGTAAGCACAGAAAAGATCATGGAATCTGCAAATTATATGCCATCTTCTAGTTAGATTTTAAAGATGCGTAGGACTGATCTTCTAGATAACAAATTCCTATCCTAAATTGTGTGTTGGCAGGTGTTCGTGACTAGCGCTCTAGTGAACAACGTGCGGCTCGTCATGACGCTCTTCTTCCCCATGGCGATCTCAATGGGATCTGAAACGCTCATTTCCTGTAGGCGTCTACAGGTAAGAACCGCTTATTTGACCTCGACATTGGTTTATAAGAAATCTTTTTGCCAATGTTGTTAAAAAACTAGTGTTTCTCTAATATTTCTCTTGTGATGGGAGAAAGTAATATTATTAAATTTTAGGAATTGTAAATAAAAGCATCCGTCTAACCATTTCCAGGAATTCTTCGAATTAGAGGAGATTGGCAGTGGACTTAAAGTTGAGCACGTCGAGGACATCGGCCCTAATGAGGTGCGTGGAGCTGCTGGCCGGACGCTTGTTTCCTCGTTGGCACTTGACGGTCATAGTATTGCTAGTAGAATTGCACTAATACATTGATGCTCGGGCAAAAATTTAGAAAATATAATTGGATTCTGTATTATCTGTTCGACCTTATCTGAGTTATATTTTATATTTTGAGTTGGAAATTCAATTTTGTTGTACATTCTTGAATAAAAGCGAATTCTTTTCCGTATGGCTAGACTTGACAAATACTAAAATTTAGATTCTTTAGTTTACTATTTTTCTTTACTTTCAATCATAGAAAACAAGTGTTGATATTTAATTCTCTGCCTATTATCGTGCAGAGCGCAAGCGTCCAAGTCGAGAATTTGTCAGCGAAGTGGACCGAAGAAGCGACCGTCCTCACCCTAGAGTCCATCTCGGTCTCGGTCCAGGCGGGCGAGCTGCTCGCTGTGGTGGGGCCTGTCGGCTCAGGCAAGGTAGGGCATAACTATTCCTCTATTAATTCAATTTATATGAAGTGTGTCACAGTAAATAACTAATGAAGACACGTGTACAATGGGTGACTGGAAAGAAAAGTGGAATTGTTGTTTGAGCAATTGGAGTCCTCCTGGGTCTCAGGAGCTTCAGCTGGAGCAACATCAGGTTGCTCGGTCTCGAGGTTGCAAAGGTAATATATTTGCTTGCCACCCGCTGCAAGAGGCGGCGGGTGGCGGGACCATGAGCATAGGGGACGACCGAGGTAAACTGTTGGGCGGTTATATTCCGTTGTGACGTGAGAGGCTTGTCGTTTAACACGCATCCATGGGCTGGTTTGGAGGTGGTCAGTCACCAGAACAGAGCCATTATTATTTTTAATTAATTTATCTGTTTAATTTCTATTATTTATATCTAGTACTGCTTATCAGCCATTAATTAAAGACTCGCGTTGCTGTCATTCAGGGTTCCCTTCTACACGCCATCCTGGGGGAGTTGCCGGCGCTCGAAGGCACCGTTGCCGTCAAAGGGAAGATCGCTTACGCCTCGCAAGAGCCGTGGCTCTTCTCAGGCTCCGTCCGACAAAATATCCTCTTCGGGAGAGAATACGACGAGAAGAAATACGGCGAGGTCATTAAAGGTACGCAGATGTGCTCTGGTGGTATGAAGGATATTACTTAGTATGGTTTATAATTACTCTCTTATATTAATGATCATAATATCAGTTGTTATATTCATCCAGAAATGAATATTTTAATAAAGAATCATGTAAAAATTACTCATCTGATATTAATGATCGTAAACTCAGTTGTCATATTCATCCAGAAATAAATAATTTAATGAATAATCGTGTAAATATGTTCATATTTAGATAAAACAAAATATTTTATGACTTATGTATGAGTTGATGGATTGTTTGTGCTAGTGTGTGGGCTGGAGGCAGACCTGCAGCTGCTGAGCGAAGGCGACCGCACGCTTGTGGGCGAGCGCGGCACGTCGCTCAGCGGCGGCCAGAAAGCGCGCATCAACCTGGCCCGGTTAGTTTGTGGAACTTGATTTAAACCATCTATTGATCTAATTAACGTAGGTATTTATTATTTATAATACTAATATAAAATCAACCATTGATCTGATAAGCTTATTTATTATATTCGTGTCTTTCCCAATGCGGTAAACTTGTTCAGGATCGGCTATTTTAATATTTATGCTTTCTAAATTAACCAAACTTGATTACCGGTCGGTGTATGCCTGCGTCCACCATCTAAGCATCCATTAAATTTATATATATGACGTTTAGCTGGGGACGTCTTCAAATTTTACAATTTTTCCAACAACAACGTGAATACGTTTGCTCTAAATTTCAGAGGGATGGACAGATTTTTTAAATATTCCTCTCTGAATGTCAAATCCATAACAAAGCGAAGGGCTGATTTACACCGGTTTCTCTGTGCTTCATGGAATCGAAATCATTGCGTACGGTGCAATTTTGCAATTGTCATGATATATCAATAAAATTACTCTAATATATACCGATAAAGTTACTTTCTTTCAATAGTTAGCCCGGCGTTGTCCACAACGTATAGTTGAAAAATACAGTTTTGCAACTTTTAGCCGTTTAAAATGCGCAACAGTTTAGCATTTTCAATTTAATTCAACATATGTTCAAATTTAAAAATTTGTACACATGCTAATACTAAAAAATTTGTAGATTTAAATTTACGAATCTATATATTCCAATTCAAAAATGTATGCATTCCAATTTAAATTACTGTTTTCCTACTTTGAATAAATTTTCATGTCCAGGTAGTATGTTCCCTTTTACGTATGTTATTTCCCTATACGTCAAGTACCACAATTATTCGCACAGCTCCTACAGCTATTTATGGCGCCAGGCTTCAAACACATAAATAAAATAAGATTGGATTTTTATTTATGGTAAAGGCTTCTTGGTATTTATATTCAAATTACATACCTACCAATGAATAAAATTTATTTAAATATTAGTGAAACATTGGTACTCAAATTTAAATGGTATACTAATGTATACAATTCATATAAATATTAGTGAAAACATTCTTCTTACCATGTAAAATATTTTGAATGTGTTACCCCCCAACCTTCTTGGTGTTTAAATATAAATTCTATACCAATGTATACAATTCATATAAATATCAGTGAAAACATTCTTCTTACCATGTACAATATATTGAACGTCTTACCCCAGAGCGGTGTACATGTCGGGGGACGTGGTGCTGCTCGACGACCCCCTGAGCGCCGTGGACACCGTCGTGGGGCGCCACCTCTTCCGCCGCTGCATCCGCGGCCACCTGCGCCAGAAAGCTGTCATCCTCGTCACCCACCAGCTCCAGTACATCCGCGCCGCTGATAACATCCTCGTTCTCAATGAGGTTCTTGAAATTATCCTTTGTTCTCTAGGTTGATATCGTCAGAGTCATGAAGGTATCAAGCATTATCAAGCTATTCGCTCTCATCCAATGGTGCATAACCTCGGTCTAAAATATAATATTTTAGATCGAAATATTTTTGGCTTTGAGAGGAGTCAAATTAATGAAAAAATTAATCCCATAGTTCCTTAATAATTCACTATTTTGAAGAACATATATACAAATGAAGATAATGCAGCGGTATAAAAATCGACACGTCATTTATATATTTTTTGCCATCATAATTTATTTAAGAATCTAAATTTTTTATTTGGTCAAGTTATCCAAATCACACCACACCATAAGCAGAAAAAATTCCCACTTTTATTTACGACCGTATAGCTGACGCTGAAAACTCTTCACATCCACGCACTATAGGGACTTATCTGTTAAAGATTACAAGAATGATGTTCTTTCAGGGCCAATGTGAAGCTTTTGGGACTTACCACCAGCTGGTGAACAAAGGCTTGGACTTCACGTCGCTCCTGCAGGAGGAGAAGGACGATGCTTCCAACGCAGGCTCGATCTGCCTGCCTCCTCACATCAGCAACAAGAACCTCCACAACGCGTTGAGACGTGCGTTTTTCTTCATTCCGTGGCCTGATTTTACAGTATTATCTCCATTGCCGTTCAGAGTTTGTGAGGCGTAGACTTTCTTTGGTGGTAAGAGTGGTGTTCTAGCAGTGAATAAAACCTATTGCTACGTAAATAAAGTATGAATAAATACTGACACAAGTAAGCGTTGATAAAGCCATGGCAGCATTTCGACGGTTGTTATCCACCTGGTCACTTTTCTGATCTCGACCAAAATTTTCACAACTGTATACGGCTTTCGATTCCGCCAACTCGCTGCTCCAATTCTTGGCGGTCTTAGCTACTCGGTCATCCTGTACTGACAAGATGTGAAAACCAAATGCTAATTTGAGAAATTATTGTTTAATTAAAAGAAAAGTTAATATCGCTCATAGGTTCGATTTTCGCCGTTGAAGCACAAAATTTGATGAGCCTCCCCTTAGGACTTGCCTGATGTGGGTGAAGGAGAAATTTTTATTTGTTAGTGTGACTTAGTAACATAACATAACATAGTGATGTCGGCTCTGAAGTGTAGGCCTGATGTGGCCTGTCGCCGATTCTTTTCCATTTCGTGCCTTGTTCATAGATCTAAACTCGTGTCATTTGACCGGATCTTTTCATGACTGGCGATAGTTTGAAGAAGCTACTAGACTTCCACCNTTTCACGCACTAGAATTTGTCGGGAATAAAACACTTGTACTAGCCGTTTTTCTCACTATTCGCACAATTTTGATTGAACTGCACTAACATTGAACCTTTCACTGAAATCGTTTCGGTACAAAATTCGCGAGATAAGTCAAACCGGCATAGTAAGAAGTGAGAAAGTTGGGACCCGCAAACACTACGTGCGTCCTCGATCACTGCCAGAACTTAACATCAACTGCCAGAACTTAACAATGACTGATGAATGACTTTTTTCAACTGATATTATTTTATAATTTGTATATTCCCATGTGTCTATTGAAGTTCAGGAAATCTATAAAATGTTAAGTACTTTCGAAAATTAATGCAGGTGGGTCGAATTTGAGCCGGCAAGGAAGCATCAGGTCCATAGGAAGCAGCTCACTACGGAAGAAAGGGGACAACCCCATGATGTACGACTCGGCTCTCAGCATCGCCGGCTCCGTCACATCCCTCGACTACACTCATGTGTGTACTCATCTTGTATACTTACGTGACTCATCAGCTGTGTTGGGACTAATGCACGTTTTTAGGTCACGTTTGTACCTCCATCTTGTACGCGCGTTGGTCATTGCTCTGTAATGTTGTACGTCAGCAAGAGTACTCGATGTTGAATACTAACTAGTTACAATTGGCTATCTTCATCAATCACACATATTTTCACCAACAGGATGCTATGGACGACACGACCGAAACCTTGGAGGAAAATTGGCGGAAATCTTCGTCTAAAAATAAACAAGCTGACGATGTCAAACCCGAAAATAAGAAGTACACCGAACTGCGTTCCACTGGTTCGGTATCCGGTAAAATTTATCTCAAGTATTTCCTTAATGGCGGCCACTGGATGGTGTGCCTCGCGCTGGCGCTCGCGAGCGTCGCTACGCAAGTGCTCTACTCGACCACTGACTACTGGCTGTCTTATTGGTGAGTGGCGGGCCACTCTGTCTTATTGGTGAGTGGCGGGCCACTCTGTCTTATTGGTGAGTGGCGGGCCACGCTGTCTTATTGGTGAGTGGCGGGCCACTCTGTTTCGTTTCCCCTCCAGGGGGCCTGCGCCTTCGGACAGTTGACGGTAGACAGGACAATGTCTGCGAAAACATGTTTGGTCATAATTTTGCTTAAAATTTCTTAACTATGAGGTAAACTCAGCAAAAAGCAAGTGGTCGAAGCTCCTTTTGCTCGTTTCTTTTCATGTTTTACCGTGTCTATCCAGGACCAACGGGGAGCAGCTTCGACGGACCACCTCTGCCCTCAACTCTACTCACGACTCTGCCCTCGACTTTCCCCTCAATACTACCATCAACTTTGCCCTCAATTCTACCCTCAACTCTACGCAGTCGCCGCCAGAGCCCACGCTGCCCTCAGGTTACCTCGATACCAAAACCAACATCATCGTCTACACTTGTGAGCAATCAGTAATATACGTATATATAGCCTCAATTGCGTTTGTTTAATGTAATTGTGTGATTTGAATCCGCAATTAATATATTCAGTTTTTATGTAGTGGATGATATGGGTAGAGACCAGATATCATGTTCTCAAAACAGTACATTTTTTAAACGCCACGGTTTAAGTGATGAATTTTTACCTTCACTTCAGTGAAGAAGATGTCAAAAACGTAATCAATTTCTCGTTTTGAATATCTTTAGCGTTGATTCTTACGTTTCTACCTTTACTGTCTTAACTGGTTTAGTATTTCTGCTTCATCAAATTGGGTGACAGTCCGTCTGCTAAGCTGAAGTACTGCATTTATTCTGCTGGCCGAAGATTTTTTTAAATAAAACGCTTGTGTGTTAAAAACCATACCTTGATACCTAATAAAAAGTAAAAAATTGCATATTAAAAAATAAATAAAAGTGCCCAATAAAATACGCCTTAAGCTCCGTTGCTGCTAGTTTCACTTATTCCTGCAGTCCTACACAATCACGGATTGTGCTGAAATTTATGATTATTCTATCTTGGCTACTAAGCTCTGAAAACTCCTTATTGTAAACAATAATTGATATTGTTGGTACAGCGTTGGTGGGAAGCTTATTCCTGCTGTCGCTGGGCCGCACGATCCTCTTCTTTGTGATCTGCATGACGTCATCCAAGCGACTACACAACAAGATGTTCTCGGCCGTCATCAGGGTCCCCATCCAATACTTCGACACGCATCCAATCGGTGAGCCGCTCAGGGTCCCCATCCAATACTTCGACACACATCCAATCGGTGAGCCGCTCAGGGTCCCCATCCAATACTTCGACACACATCCAATCGGTGAGCCGCTCAGGGTCCCCATCCAATACTTCGACACGCATCCAATCGGTGAGCCGCTCATCGTGTCCATCCAATAGTTCGACACGCATCCAATCGGCCAGTCTCTCCCCTTCAATCGGAACTGGTGTTCCCCGTCGTCCGTCAAGACGTTTGGCTCTATCGGCTGGGACGTAATATTCTAACATAAAATTTATTTTCTGAATTACTCTAAATTTAATGAGGCTGTACTCTCATATTTGCCATTGATAATGAAATGTTAGTGAGCACCATTTTTTTCCTACTGAAGTTAGTTATGAACTTGAATTGATCGTATGCAGTTTGTTTCATGCAAAGAAATGTTCAGGCTTTGAGTAATTGATTGTTCTTTTCAGGACAAGTTTTGAACAGGTTTAGCAAAGACCTGGGCCAGATAGACGATCTCTTGCCCTCTTGTTTTTGGGATTTCTTTGAAGTAAGAATCTACTTAGGATTATCTATCTACTCTTTATGTGGTTTGTCTTCCTCTGTAGAATGGCTTCTAGATCAAATGAGATGTATCATTGATTGATGAATCTGTCTGGCTTTACAAGATTGTATTGCTATTAAGTGTTGATTAGCTGCATGATTATCCGCTCTCCGTCTTCCGAAGATCTCGTTTTTCTCTCTTGCTTTAATATACTCGTATTCCTCAATGTGGGAGAATATTTGTTGACACTGTTGATAAGAGTGCTAGTGTCAAAACCCTTAATCATAGTAAGAGCCATTGGACGCACAAGTCTGTTCTCATATGAGCCATCCATTCGTTTGTGTTCGCTCAGTTGAGCCATATCTTATCCTACATTGTTTGATAGATGAATTAGTAATCTAGTCAGGTGATACATCCTTGAGAATTGTAAGTAGTTATTTGTAAGTAGTTTTGTTAGTAGATCGGCGAGCGGAACATTCGCGCCACTAATTCTTCGTGGTGGCGTTCAACTCGTAACAGTTATTCCCGTATGGCAAATGGTGGAGGGATGCTGAAGGGATGAAGTTGCGTTGCATTCGTACTAGGATATGAGTGATGAAGCAAAGCTACTCATGATTTTGCTAAAAATTTTATTGCTCTATTAACAATCGTGCGTATGACTCCTTACAACCATATTCTTAGCTATTTGTTCATAAATTGCATATTGAACCGTTCAATTGATGTAACTTTTTTAATGTTGATACTTTGTGACATTACGACGTAATTGCGACAAATGCTTCATAGTTAATAATGTGACTCCTGTAGTGCCAAGGGGAACGCGACGCCCAACTGGCTGTGCTTCTGCTTTTTTTGTGATTTAACCGAGAATTAAATGTGATTCTATGTGATTTTACGTGCTGGTTTTCTTCTTGTGTTTATTCAGCTAAAATTGAACATAGTTGAACGGTGCTAGTATTTTCTGTTGCATCGCGCTAGAAAATGTGTTTCATTGCAGGTCAGATCCTGAACAGGTTCAGCAAAGACTTGGGCCAAGTGGATGAGTTGCTTCCATCCACCCTTTATGATTTTTTATGTGTAAGAAACCTGTCTTGTTCTGTTCTTTCATGCTTCAAGCTAATCTGAAATGAACTAACTTGTTCAGATTATTTTTCTTAATTTCACAAGTTCCGGTTTCTGCATAAAGTCCTGCAAGCTTTTTTTATGCATACGTTTACTTGTCAATCTTGAAAGTTTTGTTGAATGCAATCGCACGCGAATTATATTTCTCCCTTTTCTTTACTAATATTCTAAGCGTTTGCATTAAAATCACTCGGCTGTTCGAATATAAAAATAACTACAAATTCAAAGCAGTAAAAATAACCGAAATATTCACCATATCTTCGCCGGAAACGTTTCGGAGTGCAGCTCAATCGTCATTTCTAAACTCAGAATTTAAGTACAATCAATTAGTGCAATCGGAATTCAGAGAACAGGTTTGAAAATAAAAATTGATTAGTAAAAGACATGGCAACTTGGAATAATCAAAATAGGACAAATTTGTTTATATATAGATGAACTTATCATGGGTAACAATAATGACTGCATTCAAATAAACCATTACTTTTTTAAATAAAAATATACACTTTTAGGTCGGAAACGTCGGAAGTTGATTCTAAAATTGGTTAGTGACCGTCAGATAAAGTGCTGCTGTAATTATGCGCTAGTAAATTTTCAGTTGGTAACTTGTCACTTTGTGCTCCGCCAGTCTAGGATACAATTTGCGCGACGTCTTGTGCGCATATAAAGCTATATGTACTGATTCGGAATTATTTGCCATTAATACATTAATAATAAAATTTGGAAGGTTTTTCGTGAATAAGAACCTTGAACTACTTTCAACATAGTCTTGCATACTGGCTCGGGGGCACAGTGCTGAAATGAACAACGTTCGTGTTATGATCGAAAACAGGTTCATAATATCGCTCATTATATTATTCTATTTTAATTTATCATTCATTATATTATCTAGTGTATTAAAAAAACTTGTATCTGATTGCTACTTAACAATTACAATTCCTGTTTCCGACTTGGTAACTTCAGAATCCGTGCATTTTTTTTTAAACAGAAACTTAGCTTGCATAGTGACGCCTTTAGTTCGTATTCACTTGAAATGGTGAATAGTTTAGTTTGTCAGCTTGTGATTATTTCTCTTGCCAGTGTTTTACTCGTTAATTTAGCTTTAATAATGCCTCCTTTACATTCTCTTTCTGCTAATTTATAGACTTTTTTTTCTAGAATTTTTTAATTGACCATGGAGCTGGACTTGGAAACGCTTACTATAAAGTTACGGTTAATATGTGCTTCCTTTTCTTTGCTGCTGTTGTTATGAACGCAAAACACTATGCTTGCTCGTATTTAATCTTATTTACGCATGATAAACTTTTTAATTTCTTATTGCGCTTTTGTATTGTCTGATTTCTATGCTTATTTTATTCGTGATTGTCTCCTCAGTTGCACGTTTTACTACGTATTGTGTTTAATTTCTTATGATGGGATTTCTATACAGTTTGCTGTTTACAGTCATCGTTATTTGGTCTCGTTTTATGTTCTTTCAATGGTCTCATGATTTAGCACCCTGTTTTGACAAATCAGTCTTACGAAAACGTAACACTTGATAGTTTTTAGCCCCTTTTTAGCCTCTAAATTTTTGACTATACAAATTTGAATTACTTCCACTATCATTTAAATCCAATGTTTCATTTGCTAAATCGTCATGCTGGCACTACATTTTGTGCTGTACACACCTAGCCGATTTCAAAATAGAATTCAGTCAAAATTCCTGGCTTGCTCGTTATTAACTCAATGTATCATAGAATTGCTGATGGTTCTTAGCTTAAAAATGCTTTCTTGAGCGAGGTTAATTTTTACACTTGGTATGACGGTTGCTCCCGATTGCAGATCTCGCTCAATATTGTGGGCATCATAACTGTCATTGCCTCTGTGAACCCTTACCTGCTCATACCCACCTTCATTCTGGCCGGCATATTCTGGTACATCAGAAGGTTCTACCTTGGCTCTGCCAGAGACATCAAACGGCTTGAGGGCATCAGTGAGTAATGATTTCGATTAAAATTGTGTGTATAATTCAAAATATCACCAAATTTAGCCTACGCCTGATGGCCCATGATTAGGAGGAAATCGGAATTGAAAAGTTAGTAAGCTTGCCGTTCATGTTGCATTGCGAGGCTAAAGTTGAATACCGGGTTAACCATTCAAATTTTCGTAATGCTTTATAATTCAAGTTTCGCGTTTTGTGCAGCCCGAAGTCCAGTTTTCTCGCACCTGAGCACCTCGCTGCACGGCCTCACCACCATCAGGGCCTTCAAAGCACAGGAATCGTTCGCCAAGGACTTCGATGACATTCAAGTGAGCCAAAAATACTTGTGGTGCTTACTTGTATTCAGTATCCAAGATCATCTGTAGACCAAAACTGCCAATGTTCACTGAAACTTTTTAGTCCCGTCAGCTTTTGATTTAAGTGTTGTTACTGACAAACCGCTATGCACAAAGCAAGTTAATCCGTTTCCGTCTTTCCCAGGACGTACATTCCGCAGCCTGGTTCTTGTTTATCTGCACGACGCGCTGGTTTGGCATCTACTTGGATTGCTTATCGTGCCTTTACATCGCCATCGTTACGTACAGCTTCTTGGGCAACAGCCGTGAGTTCTTGATCATCCCCTTCATGGAAACACTAAGCATGTAGACTATTGTGGAATTCGACGCCTTCATAACTAGTCATGTTGTGATTTAGTAAGAGCAACATCCGATTATTATCAAGTAATTATTAATTATTATTTATCAAGTAATATTTTCGTCTCCGCTGTACCCGCTGTTTATCTTACCCTCACTTCTTCCAGTCGCATTTTTATGTTCATAAAATTTTTGTTATATATGATTATTATGTAATAAAAATGATTGGATAACAATTGTTAATGTTATGCGATATTGGCACGGTATTGTTCCCTATAGAGAAATAGTAAATTGTTAAACTTTTTTAACTTTCAAATTTTTGGTGAATTAGGGTTTGTTAATTAATGAATGGTTCCATTGTTCTAGATTCTCTGGGAGGAGACGTCGGGCTGGCGATATCGTCAGCCATGAGCTTGTCAGGAATGTTTCAGTGGGGAGTGCGTCAGTCAGCCGAGGTTGAAAACCAGATGACGTCAGTCGAGCGCGTGCTGGAGTTCAGTAAACTGGAACCAGAGGCGCCACTCACCACTGAAGAAGGTAAGCGTGCAAAACCTTCCATTGACTGCGTCATGTTATGCTTCAAATGTAGGGAACTAATGCAAATATTTGGAGCAGAATTTCTTTACGGTTTCTTACTACGATGTACATAGGGTGTAAATCCTAGAATAATTTTTCTTACACCCTTCTGAACATTTAAATCTAAGTTAGAATTATAATAACAGTTAACTGCAAATAAATAGAGCTGATGGCGATGCCTGCATAAAAATTACAATTTTCCTGAAATATATATTCAAGTATTATTTTGAAGCTCTTCATAATCGCTAAGTTTTATAAAAGTGCCTACGATAAAGAAATGTAATAAAACTCAGTAATTTTAAGCTATGAAGGTGTTGAATGTCTGCATTTCCAATTTATTTAAACTATTTTTTTCATTAGACAAGAAGCTGGACCCGCAGTGGCCGCGTTCTGGCAGCATTGAGTTCATTGACGTGAGCCTTAAGTACGACGAAGCCAAACCTCCCGTCTTGAAGAAGCTCAACTTCGCTGTGTCGTCTGGGGAGAAGGTGACTTTCCCCGCGCACGTCTATGCCACGGCAATGTTTTTAAATTAGAGGCAGCTTTACATAACCCGATTTGAATGGGCGTTAATTTCTAAATTCCAGAGCACTTTCCGTTTATTTCCTATTAGACGATTTTTTTAAACACAATGCCGATCGATCAATATTTGCGCTTTATCTGAAAGATGTATACAAATTCCATTAAGAATTTAAGTTACATATATGTTCAAATGGTGGGGAGTTTATATACAATAACCTCCCCACCATTTGACTTCATCATTCTCCTCTTTTATTGCTAGCTCGGCTCCTCTTTCTAATGTGAGCTCTTTCCCTCCGCTGTTAAATTATCATTATACTTGCTGCTTTAATGTCATTTTGTGCCCCCAGATCGGCATCGTGGGACGTACAGGAGCCGGAAAGTCTTCCCTCATTTCGTGCCTCTTCCGCCTGACGGAGCCGACCGGCCAAATCATCATCGACGGCGCTGACGTCAGCAAGTTGGGCCTCCACACGCTACGTAAAAACATCTCTATCATTCCCCAGGTTTGCTCACGCACGAATTATGTTCATAGCGTTGATACTTGTGAATAAATGTTTGGTTTAGTTGCAGAATCTCCCTCAGTATTGCACTTTGTCGAACATTTTTTTCCTAACCATATTTTTATAAGAATATTTGTACCCGTGAAATGATTGAGCATGTAAATACTTGCTTATTTTGTTTCAGGATCCAACTCTTTTCAATGATACATTCCGCAAAAATCTGGATCCATTCTCTCAGCATTCAGACGAAGAACTTTGGCTTGCGCTCGAAGAAGTGAGTGTATGGACCGTGTTGACATCGCTATACGATTCGTACGACTATAGTTACACACTATAGTTACACAGCTCGAATAATTTTTTAAGTGAAATCAACGAGTGTTATTTGGATGAGGTGTGATAGTGATAAGAATTAAAGCGATTAAAATACCGTCTAATGAGTGTGTCGTACGACTTAAGCCTTTAATGATCTTATAGGCAATTCTTATCGCGATGGCCGCAGGTGCAGCTGAAGGAAGCAGTGCAAGAGACCCCCGGGGGGCTGGAGCACGTGGTGTCGGAGGGCGGCAGTAACCTGAGCGTGGGGCAGCGTCAGCTCGTGTGCCTCGCCAGGGCCATCATCTCGCATAACCCCATCCTGCTCATGGATGAGGCCACCGCCAACGTCGACCCCAAGTCAGAAACTACCTTACTTTGGAGTGTCGACAGCGTGTTTTTCTTTCTTTGCTCGGCGTCCGAGTTAGAACAGAATTTATTTCATCTAATTTGCCGTCTGGGGTTTCAATTCAAGATCGATTGTTTTCCCGCAGTTGAATAGTGAAGCAATATTATTCTATAATACGTTCTTTTCCTTATGGATGATAAATCTTGCCTGATGAGTGCATAACTCATCTCACGTGTTGCGGTTCACGTGATTGTTCGCATGGCAGGACGGACGAGCTCATCCAGACGACCATCCGAGACAAGTTCCGGTCGTGTACGGTGCTCACGGTCGCCCACAGACTCCACACCATCATGGACAGCACCAGAGTCATGGTGCTCAGCGCCGGCCAGCTCAAAGTAAGAGGCCGCTTTTTTCGCAGTCTATTCTTAAACTTGAATTCAATGAATATCAGTTTTTATATAGTAGTTCTTCAGAATATTTTACGTTAAATCGACACTCGTGGAACGACTTGGCAATGCTACGTCAGCAAATTAGAATAAAATGGAAAAATATATACCTACATAGAAAATAATCCATTGAACAGTCTATATTTTTAATTCCTTAACCAGGAGTTCGACGCCCCACACTTGCTACTCAAGGACAAGAAATCTGTGTTCTCTGAGCTGGTGAGCCAGGCAGGTACATCCACTGCATCACACCTAAGGAACCTGGCGTTAACGGCCTTCTCGATGGCCAGCGCCGACGATGGCAAGAGATCGAGCAGCAGCAGCACCAGCCCAACAGGCCGTAGCCCTGTTAGCGTCGCCAGTGATCTTAGTCCTGTAAGCTTAATAACTGCAAAAGATGTGGACATGACCCATATTAAAACCACGTCAGAAAGAGGAAGCGATAAAGACTCAGAGGCCATAGCGCCATCTAGCCCAAGAATTGACCCAGAAGTTGCGTCTGCCAGTCACGGGTCTATCGACGAGCTTACTAAATTGTAGAAACATTTAAGGCCGTACAAATATCGGGGTCCATTCATCTTTGGTGTAATGATTGTTGATATTTTTCTTACCATGATAAATTCCCGTCCATTTAATGGCTGGTATTTTTAATAGTTAATCGCTTTTACTTCTTATTACTTTGATACTGACGATGTGAAAATGAAGGATGAGAAGTCGGCAATTATATTGCAACACCTTTGTGAATCTTATTGGATGTTAAAGTTTCAGTTTTACGTTAAACTAAGTCTCCATTACATTTTACCGTAAAATAAAGGAAATTTTACCATATGCCTGATTCACTGGTTTTGGTACCAGTGGACGTTGAAGACTTCAGGGACGTGATCAGTTTCGCGACGTGTTAATTATGTGGTCAAATTGAGACATGATGGAATTCCCTGCGTAGCGCTTATTATTGCTATAATTTTGAGTTGGAAAATGCCTACTTTCCTACATGAGTCAGCTTGCTGTCTTACGCGTTGAGCATTCTACGTCAAGCTTTCTACTTTTTGCGATTCTCTAATAATCTTGTCAAGTAAAATAACTATTCATCACTATGAATTGTATTAGGTAATTCATAGGTGCCAATGTTTCGGAATTGGACCTGAGAATAGCCTCGCTTACGATTATTTGTAAAAATTTCTTGATACAATTAAGAATCGGTTTAAAATACAAATATGTGCTAGTGGACCTGGATGAAACCTAGCGCCTTCATATTTGATTAAAGGAACGAATATATTGTTGAACATAAATTTCGTCCTCATTTTCCATATAAATTGATATCACAAAGGACGAAGAAATAAGTATGATTAGGTTAATATGAAACTTTAATGCAGCAATCATTTATGTCAGCCCGACCTGAATATTTACAACAACAATTTAACAGTTGCGACTATACTTGTCATTGCTCGGGAAAGAAAGCGAATAGCGCCATTCACGAGACAATTCGCTGCTCAAGGCTTTGGGTTCTTCCCGACACGATTACTCTACCTTCAGAGAACTATGTAATGCTAAAAGCTCTTCAACTATTTCCCTTAACAATGAGCTTAATAATATATAGCTTTACATCTTAAATCTCTGCATACATGCAACTGCAGCGTTACGAATGCATGAAGACTTGCCAGGGATCTAGTCGTCGAGTTTATCAAGTCTCTCCTTGTGTCGCTTGAGGGCCTCTTGGTGGGCTTTGATCTGCTCTTCGTGGAACTTCACCTCCTTCTCCAGACCGTCCTTCATGTCCTTCAGCTGCTTGGCTTGCTGAACGAAACAAAGCAAATTAGATTCGACTAAATACGCGATCTTCCTGAGCATCTGATTTGGTTATTAGTACGCCCGTGCTGAATTTTCAGTGACCGGTAGAATCGATAGAAAATCTTCAACAGAATGATATACTTATCACTAACTGTATCAAGTAGCATCAATGATGGCATCGTTTCCATCATCATGTGATCATGATTTCAAGAGACACAAGTCTCCTTACAAAAAAACGGTAGTCATGAAACACTTTTTTCAATCACAATTTTGAGAAAAAACTTACAGTCTCAACCTGCAGTCCTTTTGTGGCTCCGGCTAATATGGCACTGGTGTGAGCAACATTGATGACCATCTGTACTTTTCACGTTGAATGATCTATCAGCACACACTCATTTGCAAAATAACAGTTGCTCACCACTGAACATCCTCTTCGTTTGGAATTTATGCAAGGAGAGTTTAGGCTACTTTGAAAAATTTGCATAATCCATTCGTTGGACAATTTTGAAAATTATTTGTTATTACTCATTACTCATCAGTACCGAATCGAATCGATTTTGTATAACCTCTATGCCTGGTTAGAATTATTGTGTTAAATTTGAGAAATACTGCCGCTGAAATTCAAGATAAAGGTTCATTGAATTAGATAGATACCAGTTTCCTGAAGTACTGCTCTTCGTTGGCTGCTTCTTTCTTGCCAAAGGCACCACCAGCATCTCGGATGGCACCACCCGAGCCACCCCCCTTGCCTGCTCCTGAACCAGCCTCACCCCCACCCATGCTTCGGCTGCCAAGCCTGAGAGTATATATATGCATTTAGTATTTGTGATAACAGTTCAGTATAGGAAATAGATGAATGTGAAATAATTCAAAGAATAAAAAATAAACACAGCCCTAAAAATTAAAAAATGAATGTAACAAAAATTTTTGCTAATAAATCAAGAACACACCAGCATTCTTACGCTATCTATGGGCCCCATCTATACCAATACTTCATAGTATCCTCCTAAACTAATATGCTAGTGAGAGTAAAGCAGTTCAAATAGCTAACTTTACTGGACGAGTAGAAGAATAAATTAACCACAGCCAACTCAATTAAACCCAACCAAATTCAACCCTAATCAAATCATTCCAGCCCAATTCAAGCCACCCTAATTCAGTAAAATTGAATAGAATTAAATTTCAGTAAATTAAATAGATTAATGTGTTAGAATGCATTGTGATCTTATTTGATTGCACTTGACTTCATTGCAGTGCATTAGAATGCACTAGAATGCATTAAATTAAATTAGGGTATGTTAGATTACATTAGATTGCATTACGTTACTTAAGATTGCATTAGAATGCTTTAGATTGCAGTAGAAAGTGTCAGTTTGAATTTGAATGCATTAGATTGTATTAGGTTATATTAGATTGAATTAGAATGCATTAGATTGCATTAGGTTACATTAGATTGCCTTAGGCTACATTAGATTGCCTTGGGTTGCATAAAATTGCTTTAGAGTGCAATAGATCGCGTTAGAACGCTATAGATCACGTTAGAACGCAATATGTCGCGTTATAACATAATAGATTGCGTTAGAACACAATAGATCGCGTTAGAACGCTATAGATTGCGGTAGAACGCAAAAGATCACGTTAGAACACAATAGATCACGTTGGAACACAATAGATCGCGTTGGAACGCAATAGATCACGTTAAAATACAATAGAAACAATACATTGCGTTAGAACATACTAGATTGCGTTAGAACACAATAGATTGCGTTAGAACACAATAGATTGCATTAGAACACAATAGATCGCATTAGAACACAATAGATATTAGAACACAATAGCAACCAAACAAGCTGAAGATGGGCGCGATGACGGCGGGGCTGATCGAGCAATCTATGGTTTATGATCGGTCATGGCTGCCTGAGCCATAGTTTATGATCGGCCATGGACGCCGATTTAAGGTCGAGGTGGCTGATGGAGAGCTTGAAAAGACGCCGATATCTCGAGCTGAAAGGCCCTACTTTACAGCCTGGAATTAACCACCGTAAAAAATAACCATGAATCTCACAGTCTTGTCTGTCGAGACACTCTTCAATTGATATCTATTCTTGGTGTTGGATCAATAATATTTTAGCTGGAACTTCAGGGAGGTACTTGAGCTTCCCGCTCCGCTAATGCGTTTCATTTCATGCAGTTCTTTCAATGGCAGGCAACGAAGTTACAGACAATGAGATAAAAAACTATAGGAACAAAGAAATTTTGATAGTAACTAGCGATGAGGATGCAGGTGCACCAGTGCTGAAGCTGCACATGCACCAGCGATATCTCAGGCACACGCACACGTGAATGACTTACAGTCTGGTAACATAGACCCAAGTTTCATTCTCATAATTTCCAAAAATGGATTCGAGTTCACAATTGTGCATTTGAAGACGGCATTTGATAGGAAACAATCTATATCAATGCCTGGTAAAATAATCGCAGCGTATGTAAAATAGAAGACACCTAAATAATACTTAACAAAATTAAGGGCATGCAGATATCATTTGCACCCGAGGTTGTAGCGTGACACGACAACCCGTGGCAATTAGGGCTAACACACGCAGCACAGAAAAATACTTCCTCTTTTTATTTATTTGCAAATTCCAGTATTTTCCATAATCTGAAATGATATTCCAGTACTTTCCAGGCCTGGAAAATGAAAAATCAAATTTCAGGACTTTCCAGATTTTCCAAGATCAGTACGCACCCTGATGTAATCAAAATTCTTTGTTCTTGATTTTTTTGTTAACTGGAGTCTTTGCTTATCGAGGTTCTATTGTAAATGAATTTTTAGGGGTGTCCCTTATTACCTCTGGGGGGTGTCCCTTATTCCCCATCTTGTGGAAATGGCTACTATCTTGTGGAAATGGCTACTATTTTTTTTTTTCTCGGAACGAGATACGCAAATTCTGTCAATCATGTTTTTAAGCCAACACCTGTATGCAACTTCTATGTGAGTTATAATATGGCAACTATTTGTTTTGCTACAGACCTTAACAGAGGTATATACTATTCCAAAATCTCACTTTTCACACTTTTTTTCAGTGAACTTTTGAAGAATCTCACTTTTCACACTTTTTTTCAGTGAACTTTTGAAGAAAGTAAATGTATGATTTCTTAACTTGCTTTGTGCTAAATAGATAATAAAAATGTTCAACTTTATGTCACTATTTTTAGTTTTGCAGCATTTTGATTAGTTCAGTAGGTACAACATTTCTACGATATGTGGGACAACTGTCCCAATTTACCCTGCCCATCCCTTAATACACTGTTTGACAGTACTCTAAGATTAAAAGAGGCTGCTGCTTTTCTGACATTGCACAATTTCCGACTGCATGTTGGTCTCCGTGACGCCATTCTTGACTATCATCATTAGTTGTTCATCTTCAACTGAACAATTTCAACTTCTAAAATAAAAATATTACGTCAACTATTGCAAAAAAAATCTCACAATTTCAATAATACCCACAAAATTTTGAATATCACAGAAAAATAATGAGATTTTATTGCATGCAAACAAGTTAATAAGAGTGAAAAACTGAAGATATCCCAATCCCTGTGTATGTTTGAGCAATGCCAAATTTAAAAAGGTTTGTTGTTTAAAAGCCTTTTACCACGTTTTTCTTAGCTCGCTTTCGTGTCCCTCTGTCTGTGATGATCAAATCTTGCAATCGATATTTCACCAACTTTCCCGCTAGCTAGCACTCTGAAACTTTTAGGGAAGCTCAGCTACCGATAACAATACAATAATCAATAATTTGTTGCACGTTTCCAGGCGTATTTATTACCGAACCTTTCTTTATTACAGCCACGCACCCAGATAAATACGGGAACATCAATGTATCCCCTCGAATACAATTTTCTACAGAACTTCAAAAAGAATTTTCTTTCGTGCATTTGCGTGGCCAACTGAAATAAAATGAATATTATGTAGGATGGTTGACCTTTGTGCAGTAGTTATAAACTCTAAAGGAACTCACAAGCAGAAGTTTGGGAACCTTTAAATGCACGTCATCCTCGAGAGGATATTCATGTTCAGACTGCATATATCGATGATACGCTGCGTATCATCAATACGTACGTCAAGTCAAGTAAATTGGCTCGCAACAACGTTTTTCATGTGTAGCAACGGACTAAAAAGGAGAAAATATAATACTTAAAAAAACTAAAAAGTAGAAAATAAAATGTATAAAAAAATTTTTAAAGACCACGTTTTTCATGTGAACTCAGAAGTAGAAAATAATTTTACGGCAGCTACTGATCTCTGTTTGCTTTCATTCTCTTAGTCTTTTGTATTTCAGTTAAAATATTTTACAACATCTAAAACGAAAAACGTGGGGCGCATATGTATTTAATTGTTTGGTGATTACTTGATATGATGAATATGATGGTTTATTGAACATTTGATAAGTGTATTGCTGACATATCTGATTTGAGCAAATTTTGTTATTTACTGTTGGTATATTGATTTATCATGTTTCATCCAATATAGGTAGTTTGAAATGTGTATAAGTAATTCAAGCAAGTAAAGATATGAATCATGAATAACGCAGGTCAGGGTATGTGAAAATTTTAAAAGAATCAAATTTTGAGAATTTTAAATTAACGCGTGGACTATATCTAATCAATTTAAGAGGCATATTAGGACATTTGAAAAGAAAATGCACTAAGTATCTAAATAGTTTACCGTTAAATAGCTCACTATCAAATCAAAGGTATACGGAGTAACGAATAGTGATAGAAAAATTCTAAATAGTGGTTGAATTCAAAATTGAAATTAAGGCATGCCTAAATGAAGATGCGCCCCACGTTTTTTGTTTTAGATGTTGTAAAATATTTCAACTGAAATACAAAAGACCAAGAGAATGAAAGCAAACAGAGATCAGTAGCTGCTGAAAAATTATTTTCTACTTTTGAGTCCACATGAAAAACGTGGTCTTTAAAAAAATAAATTTTTTATACATTTTATTTTGCATCATCCTTATGATTATTATTTATATAGTGGAATTCTAGAGGGGTATTAAATTAACCAGTACACATAGCACATTAGAGAGCAGGACCTGAAAGCTTGGAAAGGTCAGGAATTTCCTACTTCCAGTTCAGTGTACATTTAACTGTTGATGATATCCCTTTCCAGCTGTGATTGGTTAATGGGATTGTGATGTCATCCCCTTTTCAACTGTGATTGGTTAGTAGGTTTGTGATGGCATCCTTTCCAGCTGTGAATGGTTGTGCCCAAATATGGTACGTGTACTGCCAGAGTGCCAGTACACATACCACTGATACCAGTAACCAGCACAGTACTGGTTACGGTTAACTTAATACTTGAACTAATCTGACTTAATCATTACAAACAAAGGGCCTAAATTTTTTTTTTAAAATATCAACTAAATAAAAGGAAAATGAAAAATATCAATCAAACAAGAGACGACTAAACAATTCTTTAACAAACCAGAGGCGCTACAGAATACACAATTGAAAGAGTTTGTCCACTCTTGATCTCCCTTTTACTTTATAGTCATTCTAAGTCACCTGGCAGAGTGCTGTATCTAACTTCTGAAAAAAAGCTTTCCACCTTGTGTGGAAAGCTTTTTAATAAGTGAACTTACATTCCTAAAATTCCACAATGAATTTTACCGTCATGACAAGAGGCATTTGTAATTTTAACACCTAAAGTTTGATGTGGTTACATTAATCAATCATTTGTAGAAAAATTCCATTGTTGTCCAATGAATGATTTATTCCAAATTAAATGAC